GGAAACAAGTGCTTAATAAATGCTTCCTGCTTTTGAATAATAAATTTCAAAGCTGAGGAGGGAGGGCTTAAAATGTAAAAGTGAGGCGGGCAGGTTGGTGGTGCAGTAGATAGAGCACCGGCCCTGAAGTCAGGAGCACCTGAGTTCAAATTCGGCCTCAGACCAATCACTTGACACTTACTAGCTGTGTGACCCTGGGCAAGTCACTTAACCCCACTTGCCTAAAAAAAAAAACGTAAATGCGAAAATCAACTACCATTTCTCTAAGCTTTCAGTCGACTACACAAAATTCCTGAACTAAATATGGCCTCACATAAATTATATAACTCTTCAGGGCCCTTTGTTCATTCCATATTATGACATCAAAAAAATTAATTATTTAGAAGAGTATTTTTATCAATGTTAAGTCAAAGACTCCCTTTTAAAGTTTAGTGGAAAACTGTTCCACACAGCTCTCAACACTTAGGTCAGTCTACTTTAATTCCCTAAAGCAACTTAATTTACCCTGAGGGACTAAAGAGTTTGTGGCCTAAGAATCTGAGTTATGAAGAAGTCTTCGAAGACTACTTCTACAATACATACCAAGAACTTTCGAAGCACAAATATCCAGATACTAACTTAATACACATTTGTAATGTTAACAGAAACACATTCAAATTCAAAGTTGAGGCTCATGGTTATTACAAACCTAAATCTTCATTTTTTTTATTTTTTCATCTCAAGTTCTTCCAAAATCTCAAAAGCTAAACATTTTAGAATCTAATAAATAAATAGATGGAAACTGGAAGCAGAAAATCCATACCAGACAAAAGTGACTTTGTTAATTTATTTGATTAATGATAACAGGATGAAAAAGGATTTATTAAGTTTTTACCATGTACTAAGCACTGTGCTAAGTGCTGGGGATACCATGAGAAAAAGAGACAGTTCTTGCTCTCAAGGAGCTCACTCTAATTGGAGAGATAACACATAAAAGAAAGCAAGGCAAATGTAAAGCTCCTGGAAGTACTAAAGGTTCAGTGGGAGGACAGAGGTAGGACCCAGGGCTCCTTAGGTTCCATAAGCAGGTTAGATGACAGTGTCAGGAGACTTCAGGGCTTTGAGGTAGGGCAGACGGTAAAGCCTGAAGAACCTCCATCTATTTAGATGTACTAGATTTGTTGATTCTTATCTCATCCAACACATGCCAAATCAGTCAATAAATGTTTATTAAGTGTCTACTAAGGCACTGTGCCAAACTCTAGGGATATAAATATGAAAAGGAAAGCTAATTCCTGTCCTCAAGGAGCTTACAAACTAATGGGGGAGGTCAGAGCAAGGTGGTGGCATGATGAAGAAATGCAAAGGAGTGCAGCCCAGTTGAAAATGAAAAGATAGCTGGCCTGGGTGCCCTCCTCAAATGAATGTTTTGGGGGCTCTCTCTTCTATCCTCCAATCAGCATGGTCCCAGGAGCAGAGGGTACTGATGAGATACAAGTACCAAGGCAGATGTGATCTTGCAGTCTGGTGGGAAATGTGACCAGTCAAGCAGAGAGGACGAAAGAATGAAGGAGAAAGGCAGGGGGGAAGGGCACCCCCAGGGGTAGCTGGTCTTCCTATCCACAAGCAGTCCCTGGCTGGGTTCTGGGATGGCTCAAGGCCAAGGGACCAGGCAAGCAGGGAAGAGAAAGAGGAAAAGCAACCAACAAGTCTTTGAAATTAAAGTTAGCTTGAACAAAGAAGAGCTAGGTGCTTTAAGTCTTTCAGAATTAGCACATCCAAAAAACTTATTAAACTGTTGGGATTGAAATATTGGATTAAAAATAATAACTAAGCAGCACCTCCATCAAAGCCCTACTCTTCAATGCCACATCCTAGCACGGAAGTGACTCTGGGTTTCTGAAAGGTCAGCCAGTGGGCCATAAGCTCTGGTGTGTCCTACCAACCAAGAAAAGGGTCTAACATAATCTAGTGACAAGGCTAGTTAAGTAGGACAGCTTTACCACCAGGTTGGCCACAAGGCAATGAATTATTTTGTTCCACAGTAACTCTTAAAAATCACTAATAGAGTTGTGTTTCTATCTATCTATCTACTAATAGGTAGAAGGGTTCCTGGGCATAATCAGAACAGAGAAATAAATCACTGATGTTTGAAATGTTGAAGAAACTAAAAAGAAAAACAAAATTGAGGTCTTTGAGACAGTCAAATGAAAACAATTTATTTGAAAACATAAGGGAAGCTAAATCCTCATTCTCATCTAACTATGACAACTATATTGTTGCCACATAACACTTTATACAGAATATTTCCATTTTGCAAACATAAAATATCCCAAAAATATATTATCAAATCTATTCTCTGAACATCATGTTCTTATGAATAAAAGAAAATGCCAAGTATAGGAAACAATTTGTGTGGTAAGCTTCTATTGAGTGAACAATACATTACATTCAATAAAAATTCATTACAAAAATTTTTGAAACATATTCTGACAAAGCCAAACTAAAACAAAATTATCTAGAAGTGGCTAACTGAAAATATGTAATCATTCCATGGAACATATGCAGTACAATACCAATCAAAACTGTTTCCTTCTCATCAGATAACTTCAGATATGGAAAAATATAAAATGGTCTGCCTATATAATATTAATATTTAAAAAGGGAAAAACACCTTCTAGACTAGAAATTCTAGTCAAGCTCATTGTTCTGCAACTTTAAGACTTAAACCAAAACACGCCACAAGTAGTAAACTAAACCTACAGTGATGTAGCAAGCATGATATAACCACATCAAAGTCTTTCCAAAGCAGTTTTGACTGCCAAAACCATTCACTTCCTTAGCAAACAAGTCTACAGTTTTGGTTTTCTCCATGGTATAAATTATAATAAAAGGTTTCATGGTATAAAGGATAGAGTGTGGGGCTTGAAATCAGAAAGATTTGAGATCAAATTCTGACTGATGCTTATTAGCTATGTGAACCTGGGTGAATCACTTAACCTCTGTGTGTCTGTCAAAACAACTACAAATTGCTCATAATATTGAGTTCACTTTAAGAAAGTGTATACCATCAGGAAAACAATAAATACAAGAACAACACTGTAAAAGAAAAGAATGATAAAACAAAACTGAATGCTTTGTAACTATACCTGCCAAGCTTGGACCAGAAGAAGAGTTCAGAAAATGCACCTCCATTCCTTCACTGAAGGAGTGGAGGACAATGGGTATGGAGCAGTACATATATTATAAGACATTTTAGTGAATTTCACTGAACTGCTTTTTTCCCTATTTTTAAAATCATTGTTACAAGAGAAGGCTCCATGACTTGGGGAGGGAATGGGATAAACTTGGAAATGAATGGGATATAAAAACAAAAGTCATCAATAAAAAAACCTTAATTTTAAAAAACATATATACAGGCCAGGTGTCCTTATAGTTTATGTTTCCCTTCTGTTTCACAAATTCACATCAGGAAACTTTCAATCAACTCCCCTCCAACAAGAAAAAAAATACTCTAATTTATTCAAGACAAAACTGTTATCAGCCATCATTATATATTCCCTGGGTCTAACAATAGAATTCTGCCATTTTATTATATTAATTGGTATGGTGGCAATACCTGTAGCTACCCACTAACCTAAAAGCAGTTAAACCTACAGAATATTCTGTGGCCATGAATCTCCAAAGTGAAAATAATGATAATTCTTAACAAGGATCTTTTGAAACATTTAAAAAACAACAAGGTTAATGAATGACTACCAATTGCAATAATATTCAGGAAAGATCAAGTCTGATCCTTCTTCCTTTTTCCCCTTTTTTGCTGAGGTAATTTTCAATGGATTTAATAAAAAAAAAAACCAAGCATATGTATTTTGCACATACACACCTGTACTCTAAAAAAGAACTTGTAGCTAATAGTACTCAAGTTCAGATAACGCTTTATTATATTAATACTATTAACGTGACCATTTTTTATGTCTATATCAGATCTTCCACTTAATAACTCATGAAAATCCCCATAGAACATGGCCTACCCTTGATGCTGCTGCTTCACTAGTCAACAAAAAAACCTGCACAAATTCTATCACATAAATAACTGCAAATCAACCACCTCTCCTAGCACTCTTTCCTTTATTGTCACCCTGCACAATCTGAGCAAAATAATTATAGCTGTCTATCCTCCATACTGCTTTAATACAATAAGCAAGGGAATGGAGATTGTGCACACTGAAAACCCGCAATGGCATTACACTAAAATATGCAAGAGGGATTACCGCCCCAATCTTCTGCACATATCGTTGGCTTCACTACCCTAAATGCCAGATTAATCTTCATCTTTCCTCTCCGTCTAACAAGCCCCTATTGGAATTTTTTTTTTTTTAACCAACCACTGTCCCTCATACCCACTGAACCCTCACCCCAAGCCTTCCCTACTTTCACAATATGAGAGTCCCCACTTTAACTCTCCTTCGTTTGCCTAAAGCTTTAATCCCAGGACTCATTAATCCTGCTGTATTACCTGGATGCCTCCATTCCACCCCCACCCCCACTCCCCCAATTGTCTCATACACAGCCTAGGCCACCCTGCCCCATCCCTGGTGCCAGTCTGAGCTTCCCCACCCTAATTCAGCCCTCTTTAGATGATGCCTGAGCGCCCCCTTGCCTAATCCCCTCCCCACAGCCTAATCCCCTCCTCGTCACCTCCCTCTCCTCCATACCCCCCGAGGGACCCCACTTCGGCAAAGCCTTCCATACTTTATCTGCCCCCAAACCGAACCCCCTGTTATGAGGAGTTCCCCTCCCAACCAGAGGGTCCCCCCATAGCCCCTCTATCCAAAGCCTGACCCCGCCACCTTCCGCTTTCCTCCCAGACCCCCCCGCCCCCCCCCCCCAAACCCCCCCCCCCAACCCCCCCCCCCCCCCCCCCCCCCGCTTCAAGCCTCTTGACAGCCTCTTTCCCCCGAAGGAGTCTCCCTCCCCTCCTCCCCCTCCTCTCTCCGCCTTCCCCCGCCCCTGCTCACCTCCACCGGAGAATCTGAGGGTGCGCGGGGCTCGCTCGCGGGCTCCCTCCCCCTGCACAGGCAGCGGGCTGAGGCGACTGAGGCGAAGGCTGTGGTAACAGCAGCAGCGGCGGCGGCGGCGGCAGCAGCAGCAACGCCCGGTTGTCCCTTACCCCGCTCTCCCCTGCTCCCCTCTCCCTCACCCTCTCTTCGCGCCCCGCCTCCCTCCAGCCTCCGCGGCGCAGCCTCAGCCACGGACACACTCCCCCGCCCTCCGCCCGCTCTCCTTCCCCTCCCGGCCCGGCCCCCCTCGGCTCCTCCCCACACCACAGGGTGCGGCCTGCGGGGCCCGCAGCCCAACAACGCGCCGTTCCATTGGCCAGGCCTGCCGCTCAGGCCCCACAGTCGTCTAAAGTGCTTTGGGATTGGCCGGAGACAAGAGTGGAGGGAGGGGCGGGTGGGGCGGGAGAAAGGCGGGACTGGGAGGGGTGGGCTTGAGACAGGAGGGAGAAGGGGCGGGGCGAAAGCATCTCCGCCCCCTAGAAGGTCCCTTCTCCCCCCTCCCATTCGTTCACTCTCCCGCCTCCTTCGTTTACTGCTCCCACAGCCTCTTCGCCCCCGCCCATGGGGGCTTCTAGCCTTCGTCCTCTTCCCTCCTCCTCCGACCTCCTCCCCTCGCCTTCACCTCCCTCTCTTCCTTTCCTCCCTCCCTCTGTCCCCTCTTGTCCCCACCTCCCCCTTCTCCCACCTCTTTACTTTCCCTTTCTCCCTCCCCCTCTCCTTTCTCCTTCCTCCCACTCTTTCAGCCTCTTCATCTCACTCTCTTCTCTCCCATCTTCGCTATCTCCTCCTCCTTTCCTGCCTTCCTCCCCTTTACTCTGTCCCTCTCCTTTCCTCTTTTTCCCCTCTACCCCTCTTCCTCCCCCTTTTCCTTTTCTCTCTTCCTCCTTCCCCCATCCCCCCATGCTTCTCCTCTCTGTTAATGCCATCTGTGGAATTAAGGACTATCCGCCTTAAGGCCTTAAGTGGATGGAGTTAAGTAAGAGCAGAAAAATTAAAATGTCTCTACCCAAGGTCATAGAGGTAGTAAAAGCTGGGATTCTGACACAAATCTTCAGAATTTCTCCCAGTTGGAAGAGGTCCCAGATGACTTCTAATTCATCCTTCTACTCATCATCTACACCAAACCTGACACATTTTTCTTGAACACCTCCAGGAATGGAAAGGTTACTGCCTTAGAATGTAGTCCACTCTATTTAATGTTTTAAAAATTTTAATAATGAACTTGACAAATATCGACAAACATTTTCATATAAAAAAAGAGAAGAAGATTTTACATGCTACCACAAACCTGTTACACAGCCTTGCTTCAAGTGAATGTTCAACTTGACGTGGTATTTCAAACATTCTCTATCTTCTTGTCTATGTCCCTTTTTGAACATCCTGCTCACTTCTATGTACTTTTTTATGTTTCATGTTGATGCTTCCCCCCATTTTAAAAAATATCACTATAGTTATTTCCCTACTGCCCTATCAATCTCCCACAAAAATCCATCCCTTGTAATAAATAAGTAAAGCTAAGCAACACAAATTTACACATCGTTGGAAATACATGCCACACCTCGCACCTCCAGTCCACCTCCTGTCCACCTCCTCTTCAAGAGTTGTGAAACACGAATCGGTGGCCGGCCATTACATTGATTGTGGTAAACAAATCTTTCATAATTGTTTTCCTTTACAATGTATAATTTTTTCTCCTGGTTCTGCTCAATTCACTTTGCATCAGTTTATACTAGTCCTCCCAGGTTTCTCTGAATCCATTCCTTTCATCATCTCTTACAGAACAATAATATTCCATTATACCTTAATATGTTCAGCTATTGCCCACTTGATGCACACCCACTTTGTTCATAATTCTTTGCTACTACAAAAAGTGCAGCTATGTCTATTTTTGTACATGAGGATCCTTTCATCCTTTGATCTTCTTTGGGTATGAGTCTAGCAGTAGTTTTGTTGGGTCAAAAAGATATGCTCACTTTAGTGACTTTTGGGGTATAATTCCAAATTGCTTTCTGGAATGGTCTGATCAATTCATAACTACATTAATAGTACATCAGTCTGCCTTCATCCACAGGCCCTCCGCCAATTGTCATTTTACTTTTTTCTCCTCTTTACAAATCTGATATATGAGATGGAGCCTTAAAATTGTTTCAATTTGCATTTCTCTCATTATTTGTAATTTGGAGCATTTTTCCCCCACATGATTGTTAATAGCTTTCCTTAGAAAACTGTGTGTTTATATCCTTTGACCATTTATCTATTGTGGAATGGCTCCTGTTCTTACATATTTCCATTAGTTTCCTATATATCTTTAACCCATTTCATTTTCAATCCCTATGGGAAAACGTTGGTACAGAGAAAAGAGTGATGGTTTTGAAATCTGAGGAACCAAGTTCAAATCTCACATCTGCCACTTAGGGCTCTAATGGCTTTGAGCAAATCCAAACCTTTCTGGACTTCAATTTCCTCATCAGTATAATAAGAAAGTTGAACTAGTTGGCCCCTAAATTCCTTCCGAGGGGCATCTAGGGGGCAAAGTGGATACAGTGTTGGGCCAGGAGTCAGGAAGACATCTTCCTGAATTCGAATCTGGCCTCAGACACTAGCTGTGTGACCCTGGACAATTCACTTCTCCCTCTTTGCCTCAGTTTCCTCATCTGTAAAATGAACTGTAGAAGAAAATGGCAAACCACTCCAGTATCTTTGCCAAGAAAAACCCAAATGGGGTCACAAAGAGTCAGACCCAATTGAAACAACTGAACAATGATATATGCCAGAGAATGTATTAGGGCTAGGGATACAGATAACTAATGAAACAATTTCTCTCTGAAGGAGCTTACTACATTCTACAAGCATTTATTAAATAGATGATTATAGACCCTTCTATGCAACAATCATGGCTAGAAATATGGTGATTAAAGCTTAACAAAATAAATGCTGGTGGAATGAATTGAATGGTAACCTTCTAAAAGTCCTTTCTATATAGAAGCCCTATGAACACCAGGCAGCTCCTCCAGGGTTTCCTGGGTGGGGGAGGAGTAAGGGGAGGGGAAAGGGGATGTCTAGAGAGGCCAGTCATGTAGGCCACCACCTCAGTAGCCCTAGAAGCCTGTTGCTAAGGCTGGTCCTAATCATGAGAGGCCAATGGGCTCTGTGGTGTTCTGATAAGAACCTAAGCTTGGTGGGGTGCTGAGCCCCAGATGGAAAAGGACAGAGCTGCAGAGTATGGGGTGTGTAGCTGCCAAGACATCTGTAAATTATGACAACCAGTTCAGTTACCCTTAAAACACAACTTCAACCTTTGCACAACATACAGGAAAGAGGAGGCTGTTGCTGTAGTAACTCTGTGGGTTAACCTCCTGTCCTGGCCACCTGGCAGCAGGTCCAGGGCCCCTCGATTTGCTCCAGTTCCCAAAGCAGTAAGTTTTAAGTACCTTTGGTACTTTAAGTACCTTTGGCAAGGTAACAGTTTTGTTTTTTGGGGTTTTTTTTTCGTAGAGGATATGAGTGCATTTACATTAATAGCAGCCTTCCTTTCTTCCTTCTCTGAGCAGACTATATAGGAAATATGGGGGACCTAGAGTCATAAGACCTGGATTCAGGCCAGATTCTGTCACTCACTAACTCATTATGTGACCTTGGACAACCCCTTCACCTCCTTTGTAAAATGTTTCTTCCTTTAAAAATGAAGGAATTAGACCAGATGGTCTTTAAAGCCCCTTTCAGCTCTAGTATTATATGGTCCCAAAGAAGACCTATAAGAAGACACGTCCCACTCCTCATCCCCTAGCTCCTTCAGAAGGGAGGGATGGAGATCTATGGATGTGGAACATTGCATACATTGTCAAATTATTTCAATGTATTGATGTTTTACTGATTTTTTTTCCTCTTCAATCCCCCCCCCCCCCAAAATTCTTTGTTATTTGGGAAACTCTCTGAGAAGGGTAGGGGAGAAGTACAGGGGGAAATTTCGGGCATATTAAAAACAATGTATCAATCAATATGATTTTTTAAAATTCATGTGTTCTAAGATCCCTTTCAGCTCCAAATCCCCATATTATATATCCTGAGGTCCCTTCTATCTCTAATGTTCTTGTTGGTTTCCTCCAAAGCTCAGTTCAAAAAACATTTTCTTTGTGATACCTTTGCTTCCCTGGCCCCACCCCTTCCTAAAATTTACCTTCCATCAATTTGTATATATTCTGTATATAATCATATGTGTCTATATTGTCTTCACCCTCCCTCCATTAAAAAATAAACTCCCTGAAGATAGCCATGGATTCACATTTGTCTTCATATCCTGAGTGTTTAGTGCCTAGATCATGGATCTGTAGCTAGGAGGCACCTCTACGTCATCTAGTTCTCCCTACTCATTTTACAGAAGAGGACACTGAGTACCATGGAGGTTAAATGATTTGCCCAAGATCACACGTAATGTCAGAAGTGGAATCTGAAGCCAGCTTCTCTGACCTTGAGTCAGTGTACAATGACACTTCTGTTCCTCATGGTATAGAGCTCATTCTAGTTCTATAACATTCTCTGGTCAAGGCTCTAGCAGCTTCTTTCCTCTGGTCCCTTCTAAGTCAGATTTTGTAAACTCTGTGCCCTATGCGTCTGCCCATGGGGGCTGATTGAAATGAGAAAATCAATGGAGTGGTGAAGGTGTTTTCCCACACTGCTCCTGGGCAGGTATCAAAGGGCCCCAGAGGAAGTGTGGGGAGGAGGTGGGCCACACCCTGCTGATTTGCGTGCCTCTGCCCTCCCCAACCGACCAAGTCACAGCACTTGACTTCCTTCCTCAGGTTCTACCTTCCTTCTAGCTTTCAATCTGAATTACAGATTCTGCACTTTAATATAAAATACTGTCATCAAATAGGACAATAATAAAAGTCAGGGGAATGCACAACATTCTCAACCCAGAAAACTAGCTGGAGAGATAGAAGTGTGGTTCATATCCAGGTATAGCCATCATGACAGCTAGAGAAAAGGGCAGACAATTTTATTTCCCTGAGGAAAGCAATGGTGTAATGGACAGAGAAGTGAACCAGAAATGTGGGTTCACATCCTGGCTCTGTCTTTCA